AATTACATTAATAAAAATGAATGAAAAAAATAAAAAAACAATAAAAAATAAAATTCAAATAAATAAATAAATGAAATAAAAATGAACTATAAATAAATAAAACAATAAATAAAATAAATAAATAAATAAAAATGAATGAATAAATATAACAATAAAAAAGGATTTTTTTTATTTGTAATGATAATACAAATAAAGAATGAAATAAAAATAATGATAAAATAAATAAATGAACCAATAAAACATTTAGATTTAGATTCACTAAAGATTCACAAAAAATTATAATAAATTCATAAAAATAATTCACTAGGAATTCACTAAACATTCATTGACAATTCATTAAAAATTCACAAAAAAATAATCAAAATTCTTAAAATTTTTACAAAAGAATCATTATAAATGTACTAAGAATACACAAAAATATAATTACAAATTCACAAAAATTGATTAAAAATTTGAAATGCATCATCTTAAAGCTGTTCAGTGACCAAACAGTTTATTTTAATATATATATCAGTTTAATAAATCTGCTTTGTTTACATGCACCACACACATATTGTCTATTTTCACAGAGAAATGGATCGACATATAAAGTTTGAAAAGGAGGTGTACTCATTTATGCGCAGCATATGGAGCTTGTAGTGTTCGGCATTTAAATGGAAAGCTTACCGCAGTAATTGAGCTGAAATACTGTTGTTGGAGTGGAAACTTTTGGGCACATGAATTACAAAGAGACTGAAGCAGACAGGTAAACAATCGAGTATTCAAAGAAGCAGGCAGAGCGTCCGACAGCCAGCGCTTCTGTCTTCAAGAGACTCGCATTCACACAAACACAGCACAGCACAGAGCAGCGGCGGCGGCGCTTTAAAGGCTGTTTATTTGTGTAGATGGCGAGTGGTTTACGCAGGACGCACGTTTTGTTGTTCTGTGTTTGCTGTTTTTGTTGTGTTGGTTGTCGTCTGCCGCTCTCCGCTTTATAAATGAGCCGTATGAAGACACTCTGTCGACATCAGCAAAATAAAAACAAAGCAGCGAGATCGTCCTGACTTCATAGCCAACAAAGGGCAGGAGAGATGGAGACGGGGATGACAGGCCTGTCAGAAAATGAAACGGCAGCGCAGGAAGTGCTGGAAAGATCCCGCGCGCTCTGAAGTAAACATGCTTTAGCGGAAACTAAACTCACCTGCTTATGAAGAAAGTTTGAGTCAGGACTGAGCCATAAACTATTCATAATGTGTGTGGATCAGAACTCACGGCCTCTCTCTCTCTCTCTCTCTGTGTGTGTGTGTGTGTTGGTGTGTGCTTGTTTTTATGTGTGCGTTTGTTTGTGTTTATGTGTGTGTTTGTTTGTGTATATGTGTGTGTATTTGTGTGTGTGTTTGTTGGGTGTGCTTGTGTGTGTGTTTGTGTTTATGTGTGTGTGTGTGTGTTGGTGTGTGCTGGTTTTTATGTGTGCGTTTGTTTGTGTTTATGTGTGTGTGTGTGTGTGTGTGTTTGTTTGTGTATTTGTGTGTGTGTTTGTTGGGTGTGCTTGTGTGTGTGTTTGTGTTTATGTGTGTGTGTGTGTGTGTGTGTGTTGGTGTGTGCTTGTTTTTATGTGTGCGTTTGTTTGTGTTTATGTGTGTGTGTGTGTGTGTGTGTGTGTTTGTGTATGTGTGTGTGTATGTGTGTGTGTGTTTGTTGGGTGTGCGTGTATGTGTGTTTGTGTGTGTGTGTGTGTGTGTGTGTTGGTGTGTGCTTGTTTTTATGTGTGCGTTTGTTTGTGTTTATGTGTGTGTGTGTGTGTGTGTGTTTGTTTGTGTATATGTGTGTGTATTTGTGTGTGTGTTTGTTGGGTGTGCTTGTGTGTGTGTTTGTGTTTATGTGTGTGTGTGTGTGCACATTTGTGTGTGGCTGTGTTTGTGTGTGTGCATCTGTGTGTGTGTGTCTGTATGTGTTTGTTTTTTTGTTTGTGTTTGTTTGTGTGTGCATCTGTGTGTTTTTTGTGTGTGCAAATCTGTGTGTTTGTGCGTGTTTTTGTCTGTGTGTGTTTTTGTGTGTGTGTGTGTGTTTATGTGTGTATGTGCATCTGTGTGTGTTTTTGTTTGTTTGTGTGTATGCATGTGGTTGTTTGTGTTTATGTGTGTGTGTTTATGTGTGTGTGTATGTGCGTCTGTGTGTTTTTGTTTGTTTGTTTGTGTGTGTGTGTTTATGTTTGTGTATGTGTGTGTTTGTGTGTGTTTATGTTTGTGTATGTGTGTTTGTGTGTGTGTGTGTTTATGTTTGTGTATGTGTGTGTGTGTGTGTTTGTGTGTTTATGTGTGTGTATGTGTGTTTGTGTGTGTGTTTATGTTTATGTATGTGAATGTGTGTGTGTGTGTGTGTTTTTTGTGTGTGTGTGTGTGTGTTTATGTGTGTGTTCATGTTTATGTGGTTTTTTTTGTGTGTGTGTGTGTTTGTTTATGTTTGTGTATGTGTGTGTGTTTATGTGTGTGTTCATGTTCATGTTTGTGTGTTTTCTTTTGTGTGTTTGTGTGTGTGCACCTGTGTGTGTGTGTGTGTGTGTGTATGTGTCTCCTTCAGGAAGACGAGTGGTGTGAGCCATCGTCTGATGTGCGTGCGCAGCTGAAGTTCTTTGAGCAGCTGGAGCGGATGGAGAAGCAGAGGAAAGACGAGCGTGAGCGGGAGATTCTCCTCAGAGCAGCCAAGGTAAATCCACCAGCATCTCCTCTACAGCACACACAGATATTAGCCAGCATTATCAGCCGCCCTGTCAACTTTATTATGTTCCTCAGACATTTCCCAAGTGATGATTAATATTGTGTAACACATTTTAAACATGACATTTCGAATAATTCAACCCGGGCTCATTGTGGAAACGTAGCCCCGCGGACGCTTCTGGAGGCCGCGAAATACGTCCCGGGAGGTACGCATTCGAGCAGTTTTTGTTTTCGCAAATCTACGAGAGGCCGCTGTGCGTGCTTTTTCGTGTCTCGGACGCCTCTCGGGAGCACGCGCCGTTTGCGCCTGCGCTGTTTTCGCGTGAAAAGCCGCCGGAGGTCGCTGTAGAGCGGCCGTCCGTCCGACTGATTGGCTGAACGACTGAACGATCGGCTGACCCAGCCGCCCTCCTCCTCCTGTTCTAAACCCAAGCGAAGATTTGCAAAAGTCATCCAGAAAAGAAAGCAAAAGCCCTCGTCCGATTTTGATCGCGTTTTCGGATCTCGCCCCGTCGCGAACTCGTTCGCTTTTATTTTTTTGGATTCGGTTTTTCATCTTACCTGATTTCTGGAACCGCTCTTCCCCAGACTCGATCCCGGTCGTCGCCGTAGCCGGCTCCTTCTCCCTCCAAGCCTCCGCTACGCCAACGTAACGCTGCAAGCTAAGTGGACTGAAGAATGAGCTTGGGTTGAAATAATTAATTTCTAATAACTGATTTCTTTTATCTTTGCCATGATGACAGCACATAATATTAGACTAGATACTCTTCAAGACACGAATATTCAGCTTAAAGTGACATTCATTCAGTCATTTATTTTCTTGTCGGGTTAGTCCCTTTCATAATCCGGGGTCGCCACAGCGGAATGAACTGCCAACTTATCCAGCACGTTTTTACGCAGCGGATGCCCTTCCAGCCGCAACCCATCTCTGGGAAACATCCACACACACACACACACACACACACACACACACACACTTACACATACACACAAACTCATATACTATGGACAATTTAGCCTACCCAATTCACCTGTACCACATGTCTTTGGACTGTGGGGGAAACCGGAGCACCCGGAGGAAACCCACGCGAACGCAGGGAGAACATGCAAACTCCACACAGAAACGCCAGTTGAGCTGAGGTTCAAACCAGCGACCTTCTTGCTGTGAGGCGACAGCACTACCTACTGCGCCACTGCTTTGCCTTAAAATGACATTTAAAGGCTTAACCAGGTGAACAACCATTGATTTACACACAAACACTCAGTCTGAACCGCACCCACCCTCTGATCTGAGGATGTTTGAACAAAGTTTCTCAGTTTGTGAAACCACCAGGAAACCCTGATAACCCCAGACGCCGGAGTTTCCAATTAAAGAGCCGAATGCGTGGCCTCTGCCCGTCTCTCATGGCCCGCAGCGCCGCGCTCCGATACTCCGGCTCATTTCTGCCATTAATTCATTTAGCTGACCCGCCGTAAAGACCCCGACGCTCGCCTCCCTTCGGCCTAATGGCGTTATTATGTGGTATCCAGATTATATCTCCGCCGGCCAGGCAAAAACGAGACAGTTTAGCCGGCACTGGAGTGTGAATGGCCACAGCGACCTCCATGACTTTGGGCCGGGATGAGACGTTACGCAAGCTGAAGTATCGCAGTTATCCGAGATTTCAACTCCACTCAAGCCTGAAATGCGATCAGAGAAACATGCTGTGTGTTTTCAGCTCAAATGCAGTGTGGAAGTGTGTCGTTTGTAGCATTAGAAGTCGTCGTCAGCGTCTCTGAATAGGATATATGTGGGCTACACTTACTGTATGACAATTCATGATAATATATAGTCGTCAACATTTGAAGTGGACCAAAAATCTTTTTCAAAATCATCTTAAAATGAGAAAAAGTGCTGCACAATATATCTTCATGGAAGATTTTGATTCACTTCAAATGTTGACTACTTTATATGATATGGACAAGAGTAATATGTCTATCATTTCATATTGTGCTCTATTGTTTATATCGTAGACGGTCACAAAAGGCATTGTTTATAGTAATACTTGTTTTATGATTTATAAGAGTGCACGTACACATCATCAATGCATCAATAGTACACGTCATTAATGTATGCATATGTAACCCCGCCGGTCCTACGCTACCCGAAGGCGACCTTCTGCATGGGAGTCGGTTGCTCTACCAAGGAGGCTAAAGACCATGGCCTCAAGCATCTGTCGCTAGAGCACCTTTAGAGGTTAGAGGAGTGAGGTTTACCTGCACAGCACACACTAGCTTGCCTCCGTTACACATATATAAATAAATAAAAAAAAAAAAAAAAAAAAAAAAAAAAATATATATATATATATATATATATATATATATATATATATTAGCGCTGTCAAAATTAATGCGTTAACGTATGCGATTAATTTTAAATAATTAACGCGTTAAATTTTTTTTAACGCAATTAACGCTGTTGCAGGTTTTTTTTACTTCCTGTTGTGGTGGGCGTGTTTTTAACATGCAAGAAATGTAAATAAGACCAAGGAAGCACTTTTTGAAGGCAAGTTTCAGTATAAAACAATTAGTCGCATCACCAGGCTCTTCAAAGTTTCATGCAATTTCGGGTGTTTCCTTTTTAACTTTCGACTTCTGTTGTGAGTTGATACCGCATGGCGAACAGAAAGAAAATCCTCCGCATTTCGTGCCTCGGTGTTCCTTTAAGGTAATAAAATCACTGCTTAGGCTACAAGGTAGACTTTTAATAAGAGTGTTATCTTAATCATATTTAAATCGGAGTATTGGTGTCTTATGTGAATTTACTCAGAAAGTCTGGTGAAGTCGCGAGCTGTCAAAGACAGGGCATTACTCTGCCTTTCAGCATGAGTCCTCCAAGTTTAGCGTGTTTCCTCATTAAACGCAATGAAAGCGTCTGCTTCGCGTTGTTGTGTCAGAATCCTTGTGAAATACAGTAATACTTTAGGACGCTTAGTTTAAGCAAATTTGATGAACGTGATCATGCGTGTTGAATCTGAGGGGAGTCGCTCTAATATGGAAGGCCGTTGGGGCCAAAACGTCTGCAGCGCGTTGTGTGATACTCCGAGTCTTAGCAACTGGATGAATGTAAAGGAGGATTAAGCTAAATTGTTTCTACTCCATAATTAATGTTCTCAAGTCACAGCAATAAAACTTTACAATGACAACAGTTTGTATTCTATAGTTTATTATTATAATTTTTCATTTTCCATATCTGCAATTCCTGTGTTTTGGCATTTTTTTGCAGTCCACTTAGAATCCAACATGGAAATCAATGTTTTCTTTATTGGCATTGATTGTTTCGAAATTTAAATGTCATTAACATGCCTGTGTTTTAATTTCTGTAATAAATATGGCTGTCAAGCCAGGATCTTGATGGTTTATTGTGGGTTTGTTGTTTAGATGAAGAAATCTGTGTTACAAGTTAAACAAAAATTCTATTAAACAATTATATTTTGAATTTTAATTCTAATAAACAATTACATTTTGAATTAAAATAGTTTTTGTCTTGCGTTTACATTAATTTTACATTTGAATAGCCAAAATTACAAGTTTCAGTATTTTAAATGTGATTAATCTCGACTAATCGCGATCAATTTTTTTAAAAAGGTGCGATTAATTAATTAATTTTTTTTAATCGATTGACAGCACTAATATATATATATATATATATATATATATATATATATGAGCAATATCACACCAGTAGCAGTGCGATATGGCTGTATATCAGCACTGGTGCGAGGCGTGCTTTGGCATGAGGCTGCAGGCCGTGACAACACTAATACTGCGCCACTGCGTCACCATAATATTACCAAAACAATTTTTTTTTCAGTGGATTCACTTGTTCACAGATGAATTTTTCACCATAAGAATAACAATAAGCACTAGCAAAATAAACACTGGACATTTAGATTTGACTTTAAATCATTCCGTGGGAACAGAAGCCTCTAATCAGCTTCATTTGTGTCCTTGTATTGTGTGTGTGTGTGTGTGTGTGTGTGATCGCAGCATGGTTTGACCCCTTAAACATGAAGCTACTAAAATAAATCTCATCGTCCATTTCAAATATGACGGTGGTCTTGAGGGACGAGCGCGAGTGAGGGCCAGGGGCCAAACGCATTACTCTCAGCACAGATAGCGACCAGTACGGGAACCGCCTGATATATTTAAAACCAATTAGCAGCGAGGAAGGGCAGAGAGAGAGAGAGAGAGAGAGAGAGAGAGAGAGAGAGAGAGAGAGAGAGAGAGAGAGTGTGTGTGTGTGTGTGTGTGTGTGTGTGTGTGTGTGTGTGAGAGAGAGAGAGAGAGAGAGAGTGTGTGTGTGTGTGTGTGTGTGTGTGTGAGAGAGAGAGAGAGAGAGAGAGAGTGTGTGTGTGTGTGTGTGTGTGTGAGAGAGAGAGAGTGTGTGTGTGTGTGTGTGTGTGTGAGAGAGGGAGAGAGAGGGAGAGAGAGAGTCTCATGGGGCAATTAAAAAAAGACTGGGGACCCAAACATGAGGCCCTCAGGAGCAAACACACACACACACACACATTAAAAAAATGCACGCAGGCACCCATGCACACACACACACCACATGCACACACCACTATCTCTCTTTCTCTATAACAGACATACTCAATACACACACATGTACAAACACTCACGCACACATGCACACTCTCTCACTCTCTCTCTCTCTCTCTTTCTTACACACGCACAATTAAATGTTTTAGCAGAGAGATTTGCCCTCTCTGACCACACACACACACACACACAAGCACAAACTGAGCGCTGCAGGGATGACGTAGTTTTGTACGTTTGCATCACTCTAGTTTCCTCCAAATCATCTCTGTTGTGCACTGTGGCCTCACAGCAAGAAGGTCGCTGGTTCGAGCCCCGGCTAGGTCAGTTGGTGTGTCTGTGTGGAGTTTGCATGTTCTCCTCATGTTGGTGTGGGTTTCCTCTGGGTGCTCCGGTTTCCCCCGCAGTCCAAACACATGCGCTATAGGGGAACTGATGAACAAAATTAGCTGTAGTGTATGAGTGTGTGTGAATGAGTGTGTAAGGGTGTTTCCCATTGGAAGGGAATCTGCTGGGTAAAACTGCTAATGCTGGATAAGTTGGCGGTTGATTCTGCTGTGGTGACCCCTGATTAA